TTGTAGCACGTTGAGGTTGGTTTAATCTTGAAATCACTGCGAACAGAGAAAAAGGCTCTGGACACAAATAAGGGGCCTGGTTTCAAGAATCTCCTTAGAAATCGGGGAGAAAGGGGAGCCTATAATTAGGGTTTGTGTGCTCCCGCTTTGGGGGTGATGTCATCACCGGCACTCGGTGCCAGGAATCTGAGCTCACCACCCTTCAATGATTCAATAGGGGCTTGCCTGGGAACTTCTCATCTCGGGGATTAGTGACCAACAGATCTACTTTGTGGGTACCTGCGTTTGGCTGAGGGGAGAAAGAGAAATCGAAATGACCTTGTAAGTGGGAGTCATGTGAAAGAATGCAGCCCTGTGGTGCTCCCACTAGAACCTTACGGATGGGACCTTAATAGTTTGTCAGCCCCTCCCTGTTCTGCTTCCCGCCATTTTCCAGCTGAGAAACTGAAGCTCAGAACTGGGAAGACACAAAGCTGGCTATTCCCGCGCCTGGAGGATACCTGGTTGCCTGAGCCCCATTTCAGCGCTTTGTTTTCTCTGTCACCCTGTGCCCCAACCTCATCAACTTCCGAGCTTCCACCAGCATGGATGCTCAGAACCTCACCCACCTGGATGCCACCTGAGTCATTCCCAGGGGCCCAGGGACCCCGGTTCAAGTTACAGGAGCTTCCAGACCGCACAGACCCTGAGGGGAAACGAATGTCCTGCCGGAGACTCTTTCTGCTGCGGGCGTCATTGTGCAGAGACGCTGTAGCACAACCTGCAAAACCGGTTCTGGGAGGAAGAAGTCTGCAGTAGTTCTGCCAGAACCGTGCTGCCCTTGAGACTGGCGATCTGCAGTTGATCCCGTAACCTCATTTTCTTTTTTAACACCTTTATTGGAGTAGAATTGCTTTACAATAGTGTCTTAGTTTCTGCTGTATAACAAAGTGAATCAGCTATACAGATACATATGTCCCCATATCTCCTCCCTCTTGCGTCTCCCTCCCACCCTCCCTATCCCACCCCTCCAGGTGGTCACAAGGCACCGAGCTGATCGAGCTGATCTCCCTGTGCTATGCGGCTGCTTCCCACTAGCTATCCATTTTACATTTGGTAGTGTGTATATGTCCATGCCACTCTCTCACTTCGTCCCAGCTTACCCTTCCCCCTCCCCGTGTCCTCAAGTCCATTCTCTACGTCTGCGTCTTTATTCCTGTCCTGCCCCTAGGTTCTATTAACACCTTCCCTGGCCAAACTTTTCCTGTAATTAAATTAAACTAAATGATTAGAGTTTCACGTTCTTTCCTTTCCTCTGTTCCTGCTAAACGAGAGGTAAGAATAGAATACAGGTCAGCAGCAAAAGAAAAGAGTAGTGTTCTGGAAAAATCCATAAATTTTGTCATCAGGCCTTGATGATGCATATGTGGGAAGACTAACAAATATGGGACTGTTTTATTTTTTTAATAAATGCACCAAAACCAAATATCCAAACAGAAGCTATCTTGGGAAGACACACAGATCTCTCAAATGATACTGCCATGGCTCAAAGTATATTCGTAGTGTCTCTCGGGATATTACCCACTTCAAAGCTGGTCTTGTGCCAAAAGCTATACATTATTTTTACCCCTGAAGTGATATTATCCAACTTGTTGGTACACACTCACGTTTGGACCCAAGTGGTTTCTGATTTTTTAGAAAATATCTTCAAAGATCAAGATTTACTACCTTTCTTTCAAACAAAGAAAGGCGCAGCAGCTCTCTGTAACGGCACCAACACAAGTCAGCCTCTGTGTGGCCTGTTGCCAAAGGAACCCGGGGAGGTTGGTGGGTTTCCTGACTGGCCCATTCCTCTCGGCCACACGGCGTCAACCTCCCTTGTGTCACTACTTTCCCCAACACCGAGAGCCAGTAAAGATGTAAACGGCATATTCAGTTGTCTGAGGGGGTGTGATTGGGGCGTGAAACTTCAAATGTCCACGCGGACCAGGCAAGGAAAGTTCCACGATGGAGAAGGCTAGAGAAAGCATTAAAGAGAACAGCTGGTACCTCACAAGAGCTACTCGTGGCCTTGCAAACACTTGGGCTCATGTTGCCAGAATCTTTAATTATTCTAGTTTCCAAAAGAATCTGGAAACTTAGGTTTTTGTTTTGTTTGTTTCTTGAATCTCCTGATTATTAAATGCGGGCAAAATATTTTAAAACTTGGAATATAAGTACATAAATGCATGATACACACGTACATATACGTTCTGTGGAATATATGAAGGCTGCGGGTCACAAATTTGTGTCCTCTGGCCACATGAACTAAAACAACATGTGACACTGAATGAATGTCACAATCCTAAAGCCTACAACAGATTTCTGTGTGGATGTTACCAAGAGGAACTCCAAGTCAAATGCAACTGCTCCCGAGAATAAGTTCACAGTATGAAAATCACAAACAGTTCCACCGTGAGAGGATTTTATGCCTTGCTTTGTTGAAAACCTTTTTCCCAATCATGTAACTTTGGGTTTTTTTGCAGCCCGCTTATTATAAAATCAATGATATTTTAAAGGAAAACCTTACATCCTGCAGGTTGAAAAAAAAAATCTTCTCAGCCTACCTAATGAAATGGATTTAACTTTTATGGTTTTTCTTTAAAAGCTCTTCCAGTAGTTTGGCAGAAGCATCTGGAGCTATTTTTATTACTCATCGATTAACCCAAACTGCACGCAATTATGACTACCAAATAATAGTTACTGAAAATATGTATTAAAGAAACAAGTTTAAAAAAAAAAAAAAAAGCAACAAGTTTTGCTACAACAAGCAAGCACTGCCATTTGTCAAAGCATATGTGACCTTAAATGTGTCAGCCTGGAACAATACACGTGCACAAACATACATATTTCAACAAGAAAAGTGAGCCTTACCTATGGGAAATGAAAGAAAATTTAACTCACCCCCAAATTAAGTACCTCACTGGTTGACCACAGAGCCGCCATCATTCAAGATGTCCTTTCAGGTTTAGGCATTTTCTTTAAAAGGTCCCTATTTACTGGTAACAGTTAACACATTCACCTTCTAGCACTTGTTATCAGATTGCACGATAAGGAAATTTAGGGCTGCAGTTACAGCTCACTTTTACAGCTTGCTTTACCTTGACAAGGCACTTCCAAGTATAGGATCCCATTGTCTTCCCAATGGATGGCTCTGCTTGGGCCTGCCTCTCACTCCTCACACACACTGCTGTCCAGCTAATGAGTCCCTTACCTCCCTCAGAGACTGGATTTTCACACATCGTGCTCCCAGCACATGCTTGGTACAGCAGGGACAATCGGAAAAGTTTGTTTTGTTTTGTTTTGTTTTGCTTTACATGAGCGAACTGAGGCCCAGAGAGGTCAGCTGACTTGCCAGGATTCCAACCCTGGGCCCTGATACCATGGCACACACTGCCTTTTCCTTACCCAGCCCAGTAATCTAGCCTCTGGGAGAAGAGAAGGGGGCACGAGGAGAAAGCCTGGGGCTTGGGTGAGGAACTTTAAAGGGAGGTGGAGTGGGGCCTCGAGGAGAAGCTTTCCCTGCACTTCTGTGCCCATCATATCACAAGGCCTCCTGCCTTCCCTCAGATGTACTGACCCACTGGAACATTCTCCCAGCTACTATGGAGCTCTGTTTCTGCTTGCCCATTTAGGTCACCTTTCTTGGGCCTAAAGCCAATTTCATTTACTTTGTTTTATACCTGAGTGAAATGAGACACTGAGCAATTCATCTTCCTGTCTAAGTCATGCCCACAAACTCCCATCCAGTTTCCTTTCTCACCTGGCCTTCCCCTGCTTGCAGACAATGAAGCATTGAAAGTAGTTGTTTACATTGACCTTTTCATTAATTCAAAGACAAAGTCTTCTAACGCCCTCCTAGATGGTACATAACTGAAGCAGAAAACAAGCTTAGGGTTCACCTGGAACCTTCCCTTTGGTGCAAAATAAGGATCGAGAATCAGAAGGTTCAGAACACAGGGGGAAGGGTGGGCATAGCCTCAAAGTTCGGTTTTCATAAACTCGGAGACTCATGGCTGGAAAGCAAATCTGAGTATCATCAAGTCTTACTTTTTTACCCGAATCCATGCAACGGTGGACATCTATCCTCAGGATGCACCTGGCCAGAGATTTTACTGCTGCCCTTCTTAACCATGCTGGCACCAGACAGAAATAAGAAAAGCTTAAGCTTGAGGTTAACAGGAAAGAAATGGCTCAAGGTCACGGTGGTGGCTCTTCCTCAGGGAGTCAAGTTCAGAGACCTGCAGCCCTGCTTCCTGCACCCCCCCTTGACCAGACGAAGCCTCAAAGGGGCCGGGGGTCGGGAGGCTTGCCCAGCTGCTTACCTGTGCAGACAGTAGCTCTGAGCACCTTCCTGCCTCTGAAGAAGGCAGCAGTTGGAGAGGTGTTTAGGGAAACTGCAGCGCAGGTAGAAAAGATTTTTCTGGCCCAGTCCTGTCAGCCCCAAGTGCTAAAATGGAGCTTGGGGGCCTGGAGGATTTGGGAGGGACAAGGGGCCTGGCCCGTTCAGCGGGAGGCCACAGGGGAATAGGTACACCCCCTTTCTCCTTGCTCCGCAAAAGGCAATTTAGCTGCGCGTAATTGAATGTGTGTGACTCAAGAGAAAGATCATAGGCTCATTTCCCTTTTTTCTGGCTCAAGTTAACAGATCCTTCCCTACTCAGAGGCTTTTGTAAAAGAATACTCTGCAGAGAAAGGACATGGTATTTAAAAGGTGCGGCCAATGAATCAGCGCTACTTTTTTTTTTTTTTTTTTTTTTTTTTTATTTGCGGTACGCGGGCCTCTCACTGTTGTGGCCTCTCCCGTTGCGGAGCACAGGCTCCGGACGCGCAGGTTCAGCGGCCATGGCTCACGGGCCCAGCTGCTCCGCGGCACGTGGGATCCTCCCGGACCGGGGCACGAACCCGTGTCCCCTGCATCGGCAGGCGGACACTCAACCACTGCGCCACCAGGGAAGCCCCAGCGCTACTTTTTCACTCACCTTGGCTTCTTCGTTCACGTCCCAGGTGAAGGAAACAGCGTTATATGCGATCTCTTCAATGTTGCCGATCGTATTGAAGCTCTCCTTGTAATCAGCTGTGACATGAAAAGAGAAAAAGGTATTAAAAGAATCAGCGTTACTGGGCGACATGTACTGAATTATCATTTTCCCAGTGGGGAAACTGCAACTTTGCCTATTCGTCTGTCTGTCTCCATGGCAACAGTTAAGGATGTGTGCTTGCTGATAATCTTTTACTAATATTTACCCTTTAAGCATGTAAGCGTGTTCCTCTATTAAAAGAGTAAACCTAGGTGAAGCAATGTTCCTAACTGATTTGTTCATTAGTTTCATTTTTAACTCGGTTTATAAATTTCTTCCTCCTGAGAAGGTTCCAGATGAACCACCTACCTAGTCCCTCTCCTACTCACTTTTCTGCCACTGAATTTTGCCGGCAGTGCCAGTGTATTCCATAGGGATCGTTTCATAGGACAGAATATTCTCTTTATCAGCTGCGCAGGGTCTCCAGGGCTTCAGTGAAGAAATCCAAGAGTGCAGAAAAACTTATTTTTTACTTCTTTTTGGATTTAGGTAAAGAGAATTGAGTCAGTCGTGCTCAGCTCATTACCACCACCTGTCCCCTCAAGTCCCTCTCTTATTTCTTTATTTATGTAATATTTATTTATTCCTTTTTATTGTCTCTATCCCCCACCCCCAAACACAATAGCTATCAACATGTTTGCTCTGTATCCTTATGAAATAAGTTCGGTTGATTTGCCTGTGTACATAGTTTTCATTTTCACAAATTGTGCCGTACTGTGACTAGGGTTGCCAGATTTAGCAAATATTTGGATCATACTCTAAAAAAGTATTTGTTGTTTAACAGAAATTCACATTTAACTGGGCACCCTGTATTTTATCTGGCAACCCTCGCTATGGACCTTTTCAGATGTATCCACGTTGCTGGTTGTATGCCTAAATCCTAGCTGTGGCTGCATAGAATTTAGTGGTGACCACCAACTACAATTTACTTATCCCCTCTCCCCAGAGATGGACCCTTCAGTGGTCTCCAGCTCTCTGGTACCACAGACAACACTGTGATATTCCTCTGTCTCCACTGTCACTGCCTTAGTTGGTCTTCAGGTCTAGAAATGACGTTCCTAGTAGCTTAATCCTCACCACTTCCTGAGGTTTTTAGCTTATGCTTACCATCTAGATTTTTCCCCTACTCGTGGCCTCCTTGGATATGACATCCTACCTTCACTCCATCCCTTGTGTAGTAAGTAAACATTGGCCATGTCCTGCTTGGCTGGCATGACGGTAAGGCCCATCTGCTTTTCTTTGAGGTCTGGTTCACTCACAACTTGATCACCTAATCACATATGTTCTTTCTTTCTAAACTTCCATAATTATTTTTCTAAAATGAAAACTCTAATCATGTGCTTTTATTAATTTTTTAAGGCTAAAACTTACACCATGACCCATCATATGCTTTACAGTTAGACCCTGCACACTTCTCTGTGTCATCACACTCCAGCCCCACAATGGGGGCCAGAGGAAGATTCAATACTAATGATATTGGAGGTCTTTTTGCTTATAAAATCCTTTGAATATGTTTCTCTCTGAGTTAGGGTGAGTTATTACGATTGACTTCCAGTATAAAGTGTTCATTGTCTACAAAATTTGACATGTTTCTGGCCAAATGGTCATTTCCTCATCCTGTGTTCTAAGTGGCCCTATCACTCCAGGGCTGGTGGCTTCTTGAGACTTCAGCAAGTTCTCTATGTTAATGCTGTAAGATTTTGAAGTCTGCTTTCCTAAAATTCACATATCTGATCATTTTTAGATCATTTCCTCCTCATTTATCACAAAATCTAAATTCATTTGATCCTTTACCAAGATTTTAATTACCTTCTCCTACTAATATAACTCATTCCAATTAGGTTGGAAGCAGGACTCCTATTTGATTTTTCTATCCATAACACAAATAATAATAAAACAAAGTCCACAGTAATAATATCAATAAGTTTAGGGGAATTCCCTGGAGGTCCAGTGGCTGGGACTCAGCACTTTCACTGCTGGGGCCACAGTGGATCCCTGGTTGAGGAACCAAGATCCTGTAAGCCACGTGGCATGGCCAATAATAATAATAAATAAAATAATAATAATAATAAGTTCATAATAATCCACAATAAAACAAAGTCAGTGTGATTTTGTGTTTTTAAAATAACTCCTTATTACTGGGACCTGGATTGCTGGTTAACTTCAGAAAAACCTACTGAGTCGTATGGTAGTTCTATTTGTAGTTTTTTAAGGAACCTCCATACTGTTCTCCATAGTGGCTGAACCAATTCACATTCCCACCAGCAGTGCAAGAGTGTTCCCTTTTCTCCACACCCTCTCCAGCATTTATTGTTTCTAGATTTTTGATGATGGCCCAGCAATCCCACTACCGGGCATATACCCTGAGAAAACCATAATTCAAAGAGTCATGTACCAAAATGTTCATTGCAGCTCTATTTACAATAGCCCAGAGATGGAAACAACCTAAGTGCCCATCATCGGATGAATGGATAAAGAAGATGTGGCATTGGGTTGTTTATTTTTTTGTTATTGAGCTGCATGAGCTGCCTGTAAATTTTAGAGATTAATCCTTTGTCAGTTGATTCATTTGCAAATATTTTCTCCCATTCTGAGGGCTGTCTTTTGGTCTTGTTTATGGTTTCCTTTGCTGTGCAAAAGCTTTGAAGTTTCATTAGGTCCCATTTGTTTATTTTTGTTTTTATCTCCATTACTCTAGGAGATGGGTCAAGAAGGATCTTGCTGTGATTTATGTCATAGAGTGTTCTGCCTATGTTTTCCTCTAAGAGTTTGATAGTTTCTGGCCTTACATTTAGGTCTTTAATCCATTTTGAGCTTATTTTTGTGTATGGTGTTAGGGAGTGATCTAATCTCATACTTTTACATGTACCTAATTCACTTTGTTATAAAGCAGAAACTAACACACCATTGTAAAGCAATTATACCCCAATGAAGAGGTTAAAAAAAAAGAAAAAGAAAAACCTACTGAGATGTGCTCTCCAGAATGGCCCTCAGACTCACCTCCTATAATGGGTCATGTCAATCTATACTCTGACCAGAATTCTATTTCCCCTCTTTTTCACCAAATTTCTATTTTTGTGGCCAATCCAGTGGGTACAAAGTGGTATGTTAATGATATTATAGTTGCATTTCTTCTATCACCTATGAGTTCAAGCATCTCTTCACATCCAGGATAGCCAACGAGGTGTCACCTTATACAAACTGCCTATTCATGCCCTTTGTCTATAATTTTATTGGTTTCCTCAGGAAAACTTTAAAGCAAAACTATAGATCTTTACATTTTAAATAAAGCACACACACTTTAACATAGAAGCGTGTGTGTTCACCACAGGAAAGTCGTATACCATGAACAAATAAGAAAAATATTTAAAAGCAGGCACAATCTACTCACGCACTACAAACACATCTGTGTAGACTTCATTTTTGCTATCTCAGTCTCTGTCTCCCTTTCTCCAAAATATGTAAATATTTTTACACAACACTGTAACAATTATTTTTTAATTTGCTTCTTTTCCCTTTAATACATCTTCAGCATCTTTCCATGTCACTAAATAAAATTGTGGAAAATAGTTTTAATGTCCAAATACTATTATATTGGATTAAAATAAAATGCTATAACTTTATTTTGCTCCTATTGGACCCTTAAATGATGTATAATACTTTGCTAACTTAAATAGCGCTTCATCTATCTTTATGGCGAAATAGTCATATATATTTCATTATTTCATTAACATATATTCTCAGAAGTGAAATTAATAGGTCAAAGGCAAATATATTTTTGAGGCTTCTAATTCACTTTGTCAGATTGCTCCTAGAAAGGTTAACACAGTTTATATTCACAATAACAGTGTGTGACTTCCTGTTTCCTCAAACTGTCTCTTTCCAAGTTGGTATGCAAAGCATGCTAACATTATTTTATTTGCGATTCCTTGATTGCTAAAGAATAGAACAGTCTTCTATTTGCTTTCTGGCTCTTTGTGTTTCTTTATATTCTTTCTCTTTGTTTTTAAAATTTATCCATTTATTGTAACAGTTTATTGTTCTGTCTTTTGCTCATTTTTCTCTTAGGGAATTCAAATTTTCTTATCGATTTAAAGTAAATATTTAAAGCTAAGCGATAAAACAGAAAGCAAAGGAAAATGATTTTATATCCTACAAGTTTAAAAAAAGGCTTTACGACTATATTTCAGATGATTTTAAATGCAAAACTGTGCTTTCAGCAGGCCAGCCAGTTTCTTAAAATTTTGAAAAGAAAATAGATCACTGAACTTAAAGGAACTGAGTTCCCTAATTCTTCATAGCTATTTGTTTTAAAAGATAGTCTTACAATTTTGTTTTGCAATTTTTAATAAGCATTTTTAAAATCATAAATCAATCATAAATTTAAAAAGCAAATGCCATATCTAGCAATAAAGAGAAATCAAAATGGTTTGGTCAAACACTTAACCTAGATCTTTTTAAGTTTTTATTTTTCCACACCTTCTCTACCTGAAAAATTCCTCCCCTAAAACAATGTGTTAGCTTAGAAGAGTAAAGAATTTTAAAAACAAATGCAACACAAACACAAATAAATGCTTTCTGGGTCTTGCACAGGGTCTCTGTCAGTTTCTCTCTATCATGTTCACTTACTCAATCAACAAAGGTATTGAACAAATATTTACTGTGTGTTCCCTATATACTGGGCAGCGTCCTCACGCTTAAGAAACAGCAGAAAATAAGACTAGGTCCCTGATCTAACGGTGCTTACAGTTCAGAAGGAGACAGAATACAAATAATTAGACAAATAAATAAATGAAAAACATATTACGTTTAATACGCTTTTTATGCCAAAAACGAAAAAAAAACAAGACTGGTCAGGCTACTTTTTATTGGGTGGCTACATTACCTTGCTTATTTCCTTCCTACTACATATCAATGTTTTATTTATTTATTTATTTAACCATGCCATTTCCCATTAGCTATACATGCTATGTAAAGGCAAGGAACTTAAATACTG